CTTGGAGATAATGAAGAACGGATGGCTGATAGCAATCCCCTCCCCCCCGCCCCAGCTCTAGCTCAATGGCCTTTCTGAAGGCAGGACCTCCAGTAAATTTCTAATCAATTATGTCTATTTTCTAGTCCTGTTGCTCCCACCCACCCCACCCCCGAACCATTTTAGTACGTTATGTACTTGATACAAAAATGTCCTGAGTTTTTGCCATTTCAAAACGACTTAATATATTTTTGTATTGTCTGTTAGATTTACCTTCTATGATGGGCCTCCCTTTGCTACTGGGCTGCCTCACTATGGACATATACTTGCGGGGACTATTAAAGACATAGTTACAAGATATGCTCATCAGAGCGGGTTCCACGTGGACAGAAGATTTGGATGGGATTGTCATGGCTTACCTGTGGTATGTCTGAATCTCCAGTCTTGTGATTTCTCATTGTCTGTAAACATATCAGAGTGTCCCTCTGAATTCTTTTCCATATTGTTAATTATCGTTTGGTTTCTCTGTAGCGTTTTTCCTTTTATTTATTTATCCTAGCTATTTTGGTTTCTGTTGTAGTTTCCTTGTATTTGCTTCATGGTTGTTAACATACTGTCTTACTTAATATTTTTTAGGAATATGAAATTGATAAGACACTGGGGATCAAAGGGCCAGAGGATGTGGCCAAAATGGGGATCGCAGAGTATAACAAACAGTGCCGAGCAATTGTCATGAGATACTCTGCTGAGTGGAAGGTATGTTCAGAAGAATGAATGGAAGGCGTGGCTTTAAGGTCGGACTAGAAATGGCTAGTTGTCCTTTTTATGAAACCTTACCCAAAGTATGGCTGTCCACGTGAGTGTGTGTCACAAGAGGGCTTGGATTCTGTTAGCCTTTAAACTTGAATCCCATGAGTAGGTACTAAATCCCAGCGTTGGAGTCTCTTTTTTTTCTCTACAGTGTTTTTCTGTCCTCCTGCAAAGTCATCTTCTCCTTAAGCATCTTTCCACCTGTCTCCTTTGTTCTTGGTGTTACATTCTGTGTCTCCTGCCTAACACTGAGTAAGTGCTTTGGCCTCAGTGGTCTGGATGCTGGAGATACAGGCACCCCCCGCCCCGTTCTCTTCATGGTTTTTCCCTGTGGGCTGTTGTATTCCCCCTCCCATGTGTCTCTTCTTAGCTCTCTTCTGTCACGACACTGGGTAGCTTTGGTTTATTGCCATATAGAGTCCACTTCTATCACCATGAGAGCCAAAGTTCAAGTTTCTCACAACTTAACTTCTTGCCTAATACAGGGATGGCTGATGGGGTGAATGCAGCCTAAATCTAGATCTGGTTTTAAATTTTTTTTTCCTCACACCCCCTCCCCAACACACACCTCCTTAAGAAGGGTCTCACTGTGTGGTCCTGGCTGGCCTGGAATTTACTATGCAGACCAGTATGGCCTGGAACTCACAGAGATCCACCTGCCTCTGCCTCTTATGAGTGCTGGGGTTAAAGGCATGAGCCACCATGCTCTTCCGTGTTTCCAAAAGTGTTTTATTTTGAGATAAGCTAAAGCATATAGCTATCCACTTGGTATGAAGCGATCCCCTCTGCCCTACATCTACCATTTCCAGCTGCTGACATCGGCAGTAACACAAAAGCAGTTAATTAGTATGAACAAAATACTGTTGACCTGCAGCACAGATCTTTCTGACCTGGGTGTCTCTCCAGGATCAGCCATTGCCTTTAGTAGCATGTCTTCAATTTCCTTTGATATAGAACATTCATTTAGTCTTTCTTTGTCTTTTATGATGGTGACACTTTGGGAGGCAGGGAGGGGGTTACTAGTGATTGAATTTATGGCTTGTGCATGCTTAACCAACACATTGTTTATTTCATCAAGATGCTGTCTGGCTGTATAGTTTTCCCTTGATGAAGTATAGATTTTGTTTTGCAGTTAATAAGTATCTTATGGGAATATTATTTTTAGTATGCTTTTTCTTATGATACTTTTAGTCATTAACTTTGGCCAAATATTGGTAATTCCTTCTAGCTAATAGCTATTTCTCTGATGTTTGCCAAGTAATGATTGCAAAAGACTTTTATCAACTATTATTGTTGGGCATGGTGGCACACACCCATAGTCTCAGTACTGGGGAGTATAACTTATAAATACTTAAAAATAATGTCTATGTATAAGAAAGGAATGGTAAGAAGACTAGTCAGCCTTATGTGTTGTTTGACATACGTTTACTTGGACCATTGATTATTTTGATTTCCCAAAGTAGTCAGTCATATGTAATGATAATAAAAATAAAAAATAGTCATGATATTATTCTAATGCTACCCTAACATTCCTATTTTTAAGTCTACCGTTACCAGACTTGGCCGATGGATTGACTTTGACAATGACTACAAAACGCTGTACCCACAGTTCATGGAATCAGTTTGGTAGGTTTATTTTAAATTGGAGGAATGAGAAACGTTCTCTTGCACTGGTCGGAGCAGAGGTGTATACTTGCTTGAAGATTATTTATAAGTTCATTAATTGGTTTTGGAGCAAATGTGTTTATCTTACACACACACACATCCCTACATACAACTTTTTCTAAGCCCATAAAAATTATTTACTCCCCTTCTCCATTATTTTATTATATTTTTTTCATAAAAATGACATTTTGACAAATAGGAGAGGGGTGGGTTTTTTTGTTTCTTTTGGCAGTGCTGAATATCCTACTTGAAGCCCTTACATATTGGGCAAACACTCTACCACGCCCCGTGTAGAGTGTTATACTGCATAGGGGTTGTGGCACATACTTAAAATTCAAGCAGTAGCAGATTATGAGTTCAAGGCTACTTAGTAAGAAAGCAACTTTGTCTTACAGAAAATACCCTAGGGATATTTTAAACTATCCTATTGAAGGTTTTACCAAAGAAAAGGCAGACATTAGTAAGGATTCCCAAAAGTGCAGTGTGTTTTCCTGTTGGGAAAAGTGAATAATCAACAGATAACATTGATCTTGTATTTAATATGTTCATTAAAACATTCTCGTCAGGAGCTGGAGAGATGGCTCAGAGGTTACGAGCCCTGGCTGTTCTTCCAGAGGTCCTGAGTTCAATTCCCAGCAACCACATGGTGGCTCACGACCATCTACAATGACATCTGGTGCCCTCTTCTGGCGTGCAGACACACATGCAGATAGAACATTGTATAAATAAATAAATCTTTAAAAAAAAAAAAACCAAAACATTCTCATCAGTGTGGCTTGTACTGTTTAAATTGCTTCTATAAAGGCTGCCTGTTGCATAGTTTAAATAATATACAAAAACATGAAGTCCCAAAATGTTAGTGATGTTGATTAAAAAAAAAATTGTTTTATCATACCTCTAAGAATTTAGTGTAAAAATACTTATGCTGATAGGACAGATTTATGTCATTGATAAGGTGCCGGGCAGTGTTTATTTGCCTTTCTTCATCCCCGTGAACATCTTTCCATGTAGATGGTGGCTCCACCCCAAGCTCCACCCCAGGCTGGTGGTTGAACTCCAGCCATGCATGCACATGCTAGACAAGTTCTCTACCACCAAGCAATAGCCCAGCCTCTGTAGTAGCACTTTTATAGTCTACAAGTACCCATTAAGTGTTACTTGCCAACAAGCTCCCAAATGATGGATTGTTTCTTCTTTACCAGAAGGACTACAGAAATGACAAAGAGGTTTGCGTTTGAACGCTAGATTTTGGTTATGTAATTGTAAAGCTCCATGTCTTGGCTTGCCAGGTGGGTCTTCAAGCAGCTGTATGACAAAGGCCTTGTGTACAGAGGCGTGAAAGTCATGCCCTTCTCCACTGCATGTGGCACTCCACTTTCTAACTTCGAGTCAAACCAGAATTACAAGGTATGTGACATGCGGAACACCTGCCCAGCCCGCGGTGATTGTTGATAATTACGATTAAGGTAAACATTCCCAGTTATTCCCAACATGGCCTGGTGATGCCAGATGTCTGTCACTGCTCAGAGCCTCTGCTGGGTGAAAATGGAGGATATTTTCTCCCCCACTGGATTTATCATGGGCTTCAGTGATGGATTCTATTTGTTTTGGCCACATCAGGCACCTGCTCTTGTCTTGCTCCGACAGTTTTTTCAGCTGCTGTTCTTCAGGGATCCTGCGTTTGGCGACTTTATGTCTTCTCTGGTACCTGTAATGTCCTTTCTTAAAGGTATTGGGAAGGCAATTTATCTGAGGTGCTGAGCATGTTAACGATCTTTCTTTTGCTGCACAGGATTTGTGTCACTGGTACACTTCCCTGAGAACATGAACTATCTTGTGTCTTATGTATCTGTACTCAGCCTTCACTTTTGCTGGTTTATGGGACCCTCATTTTAAAGGGATGGTAACTTTTTGGAAATCTTGTTTGTGCCCAGGTTTGGAAATTGTTACATTTCAGAAGAATTTTATTGTCATGGTAGAGTAAGTTTTCTCTGTTCCATTTGGTCTTTTTTTTTTTTAAGATTTATTTATTTATTATGTGTACAGTGTTCTGTCTGCACGTACACTTGCAGGCCAGAAGAGGGCACCAGATCTTAGTATAGATGGTTGTGATCCACCATGTGGTTGCTGGGAATTAAACTCATGACCGCTGGAAGAGCAGCCAGTGCTTTTAACCTCTGAGCCATCTCTCCAGCCCCCATTTGGTCTTTCACATTCTTACTGGTGCAGTGAGATGATTCCTTTTTGTCTGCTAATTGCCTTTGTTATTGGCTATGCATATTTAATAAAATATTTTAAGCACATAAAAATATAATATGCAGAGATAGTTACTTTCCAAAATAGTTTTATTATTTAACTCATGGTGTGCTTACTGTAGCTCAGATCACTGTAATAGTGAAACAGCCATTTTTGTCTTATTAGTTGTGAGCCTTAGCTCTTAATGGCTGAGTCTTCTTTCCTGCCCCCAAATCTTTCATTCATCAGTCCTTGTTTGTTTGTTTGTCTGTTTGTTTTTTTCAAGACAGGGTTTCTCTGTGTATCTCTGGCTGTTGTGGAACTAGCTCTGTAGACCAGGCTGGCCTCCAACTTGGAGGTTTACCTGCCTCTGCCTCCCAAGTGCTGGGAATAAAGGTGTGTGCCACTATCACCTGGCACTCGAGCTCAATTTTATCCGAAAATTTATTTTAGTTTCCTTTCAGATCGGATTCTTATTATCATGACCTTTACAGATTTGTGAAGGACTGCTTTCCCTCAATGTCTTTCAGGATGTTCAGGATCCTTCAGTATTTGTAACTTTCCCTTTGGAGGAAGATGAAAACACATCCTTAGTTGCTTGGACAACCACTCCTTGGACTCTACCCAGTAACCTTGCACTGTGTGTCAATCCGGAAATACAGTACGTGAAGATCAGAGGTAAGTAGTGGGCTAGTCACTTGTGATTAATACAGATAAATAATTGTATTTAGCTATAAAAGCTTACAAAAAGCTTGTTTTGGGACCAAACAATTTCATACAAAAATTTTGCTGAAGATAAGCTATAAGGACAGGTGTGTGTGTCACCATCCCTTTCTGTTCTCTTTGGAAGGTCTCAGCACAGTATGTGGCAGGGACATTGTGAGTTTGAGGCTACCCTGAACAGCTTAGCAAGATCCTGTCTCAAAACAAGACAGGTGGGAAAGAGAACAGGAAAGAATAGAAAAGAAAGGCAGCCTGAAAAGTTTGATTTCTGTTTGAAAGTAACAGATTTTTATAGTTTCCAGTTTTACTGTAATTTTTTTATATCATTTCCCTATTCCATGGTAGCGAATTCTTATATTCTCAACTAGGTCCTTAGAGATTCATATGAAATATGAATGATGGTTTTGAGCAAATAAACTTGCAGATTTGGAGAAATAATAGGGAAGAAAAGAGGGGAAAACACATTGGCAGGACTGTTGGACGGGTCTGCGGAACACCTGTGGAAACAGTGTGGCATTTCTCCTAAAGTTAAGCATTCTTACCTTGGAAGTGGAAGTGGATCTGGGTTTGGTGGCATGTGTTCCTAATTCTCATACTTGGGATTTTTGGAGGCAGGAGAATAAAGATTTTGTGGCCAGCCGTGCCCACCTGAGGCCTTGTCTCACAGAAGGAGAGAAGAGA